GGGACAGACGCGATGCCTTGAAATTGCTCATTTTATAACTTTGTTCACCTGGCCAAGGAGCGATTATTTGAAAAGAAATTTTCTCTCTCCTCTCCAGGCCATCTAGACTACCACATATATTTTTTAACTTGATTTTTCTTCTCTCTGTCTTGTACTTTTGCAATCACCCCTTGCCAAAACTGCAATATCCACAGAGCCACAGTTGATTGGCTGACATGCGAATGTGTCTGTTCATGTGCCATCACACCTATCACAGCCACATCAACAACAGACAGATCCATTAGTCTCGCCCCGGGAAGTGAATTTCAAAAAAGGTCCCGTCCTGTCTGTTTCCAGCAGAGTGATGAGAGTTCACTCATTTTTCCCAAGTGCCTGAGCGCAGCAACGACCTCTCACACTTGATTGCTGTCTAGGCACCGGGCCTTCATTTCCATTATAAGGCTAGCTGTGTTTCTTCCCACCCTGTTGAACTCTTGTTCAGTCTTGTTTAAAGAACCCAGATTCTGGATGCTGAATTGGCAGAAAGTTCAGAGTGGAGGGATGTGGTCGTGAGAAAAGGGGCCTTGTCACCCCAGATTTTTTGGGCAGCTCATACCAGTGGTATGGAAAGAGGCCACGAACACGATCCTCTGCGTACATACAATAACACTCAGTCTCCTCCACATAAGCAAAATCAAACACACATGTCCTTCTTCTCTCTATAGACCTTCTTATGCACCTCCTATGCTAAACTGTGGCAGTGAGGGAACAATTATCTAACCATGGCCTGTTTTGAGTCCAGGGGAGGGTTCAAAACAGGACAACCTCTCGACCTCTTGAAGCCAGGAGGGCAAGAGTGTCCCTCCTCTGCCCCTGTTGAGCTGATAGGCCTTAATGAGCCTGGCAGGAAAAGGGTTGTGTAACATTATGAGTGACCCTCCCTGTGCATGGCCAACAGGCAGCTTCTCTAAGTAAATTCCTTGAGGCATCACATTTTGAGGGCCTGTGGTTTGGGCTGGGAGCTGGCATCAGTCAGTTCTGCTGACATGTAGTCAACATGTGTGTTGTAAATTCCATTGAGGTTGTTATCACTCTCCACCACAGATGAGTGGTTAGGATTTAGCCTAAAATGCCTACAGCTGAGCCAAACAAAGTGGCTGCACGCATGCTACTGGATATCACACTCCGCTCTCTAGTTCTTGTTATCTCTGTTATAGTGTTTCTCATTCTCTGTCACCAAACCTAATGGAAAAGGGATGTAACTGTGTCTAGCAGCTGTGTGCCCATGGCTTTTCAAAGCTGTACAGAGCTAGAGAACAGGAAAACAAAGCCTTGGCTAATGGTAAAGAGTTGGGGGTTATCTAGGGTTCCTCAAGTTTCAAAGAGAGTTTGCCATGTGAAAAGAATAGTCATATGCAGGACCCTTGTGGAAATATCATCAACCCCTTCTGCAGGTGTTCACTGAAGAATATGTTGGATTCCCAAGTGATCTTAGCAGAATTAAATAAAACTCTTTTGAAGCTCCTAAAAGTTCAGTTATAACTAATTTATTCTCTTCTTTCACCTCTTTCCTCCCCTCCCCTTGCTCTTTCCTTCCCCCGTCAATCCATCAGGTTTACAGGAAGGCAGTCAGCCAGATGAGCCAGGGCCTGATCAGGAGGTTGACGGTGCTTAGCCAGTACGAGGAAGCACTGGTCAAGATCAATGCCACGGCGTCCGAGCGACTGACGGCTCTTAAGGCAAAGCCCCAGGCAGCCATCCAGAGAGACATGCTGTCCATCTGCAACGACCCATTCACTGTCGCCCAACAGCTCACACACATAGAACTGGTGAGAACAATGCAAATGTTGTCTATATATTTTGGTTTATTTCTTATTTGGATCTATTATTTTTGTCCTTTTTCTGTCAAGGACAGTGCCCATTCATCTGCAGAAACTTGTAATTGAGCCAGAGGGCTAATTTTCACCTGTCTGCTTTTAAAAATCAGTTTAAACCATAAAATATCAATCATTTGCTGTGACATGTCAAACCAAATTGAGATGTAAGTGTTATCTTCCAAAGAACAATCAGGAATCCTGCCAATGACTTGTACTCATATCGGCATATCACATGAGCCAAAGAGAATAAGACTAAATCGATACTGGAGAGGAGAACATGTGAGAGGGTGGGAGGGAGAGCTGACATGTATGATGGATTAGAAATCAGTGTGGTGGTCGAGGTGAACCGAATGCCACAGCTCCTCCCATGTCCGACCTACCACAGCATTGATTTTAAACAGCAGTGTTTGACCACCGCTTTATATTCATTAGATAAAGTTGGAATCAGTTTTTTTTTTTTTTTTTTAAAATGGTAAACGATCAGTCAATTTGAGAAAAAGAGGTTGCTCAAGCGTTTCCTAGATCAAAAAGGAAAGTGCAAACCCCACGACAACTAAGGGATAATGGTAAATGCTGAGATGTACAAATAAATAAAGGACAGATAGACATTAAGGATAAATAGAGTCAGAAAATGACTCTGTGATGTCAGTCTGTCATGTCAAGAATATTCGTCTAAAGTTTAATAGCATTGGCTTACATTTAGCCACTGGAATCTACTAGGAAGGGTAAGACTGGTACTGGCATTTTTATTTATGGCTTATGAATTACATTTTTCATTTTACAGAGATTTATTTGTGTTGTTTTATTTTTGTTTCAAACCATACACTCTCACAATTCCCTTTTATGGCCACATCCATAAAAACCTGTAAGGATTCCGCAAATGCCATTTTAAAGTGTTGATTTTGAGGGTGATGCAAACTCTTGCAGCACATGCATCAGCATTCACTCATGTAAAGGTGGAATCAGGAAGTTGATTTTTTTCCTTTTCTTTCCTTCTCAGGAGAGACTGAGTTACATCGGACCTGAAGAATTCGTCCAGGCCTTCGTCCAGAAGGACCCTCTGGACAACGATAAGGTAACGTCTGCATTCCTTTATAAAAATAAATTGCCAGATAAGCGAAGTGTATACAGTGGTTATGCAATCTTTTTTTGGCTGAAATCCTGACGTGAATCGTCTCAGTCTGGAGTGGGTTACAAGTGAGACGACCTAGTTTCTCCTCCAGATGGATTTTAAGTTTACACAACAGAGAGACTGGCCGCCGCACAGGTCAAAGTGAGGGCAGGTGATTTCTAGACTGTAGCAGCAGACCAAATATCCGCCCCTCGCACACACACACTCAGACACACCTCACTGACAATTTCCTCAAATCATCCCAGTGTCTGGATGGGATGGGCATGCATGCACCTCATCTCCTAGCAACCACTGCTGCCAAGGGTTTGTTTTGGGGAGGGGTGTGTGTGTGTGTGTGTGTGTGCGTGTGCTCTTGTCTGGCGTTCGGCTGCTAGGCAACAGCCCCTTTTTTTGAAGCGAGGTGATGAGGGGGTTAAGGCTGCCTTTGTGCCTCAGGCTAGCCTGCCTCGTACCCCCAACGAGCCACTTTGAAAAGACAGGAATAACTCTGTGCGTTTGTGTGCGAGTGTGTGTTTGCATGTTAATATCCGACTTGTCCACTGGCGGGAAATACTACATGGGGGCGAATGGCGTAAGGCCAAAGGAATGTGTGGAATTAGATCAAGAGGACTCCACACAAAGGACCAGCATGCATAATGTGGATAACATTGGCCACTATTGTGCTTATAGAAGCAGAGTGAAGTTGAGCGTGATACACAGGTCCACTTAGCCAAGAGTTATTTTTTTATGCTCAGTGATGCATCGATGGAGGGAAGAAAAACAGCAAATATCAGCTTTTTTTCCAGTGCAGCACTATTTCTTGCTTTGCAATTAGCTTAAATGCTAATTGAAAGTCTGATGTTGTTGTTTCAGAGTTGCTTCAGTGATCACAAGAAGGCCAGCAACCTGGAAGCCTATGTTGAATGGTTCAACAGACTCAGTTATCTGGTGGCTACAGAAATCTGCATGGTGAGTAATGAGGCCAAGTTCACACTGAAATAAGAATCCTGAGTGCTTTACAGGAGCAAAAGAAGATTTGGCCGCATTCAGTGATTATTCCCATAAGCTATAAATCTTCTTTCAATCACTATTTATATTCTATAAAATGTCAGAAATTTGTAAAAAATGCCTATCACAAGTTCCCAGAATAAGAAGGTGACAAACCAAAACCGATTGTTTTGTCTGATTAAATCTGAAACCCAAAGAGAAAAATAGCAAAAAAACCAAATATAGGCATTTTTTGTATTATAAATGACTTGAATTATTAATTGATTAACCCAATAGTTTGAGGCACCACTACCAGTTGCAATAAATTACTGTTATTAATATATTTGAATATGTCATTACTAAATAGGATATCAGAGTATATGCAAAAAGTAAAGGGCTTCCCTCTCAACGAACACATTTACAAAAGTGTAGTCTGTCGTGAGGGCTAATGCAGTTTTTTTTATGTTCTCTATTTTGTTAACAGCCTGTGAAGAAGAAGCACCGAGCTCGAGTCATTGAGTTCTTCATTGACGTGGCACGCGAATGCTTCAACATTGGCAACTTTAATTCCCTCATGGCCATCATATGTGAGTTGGTGTTCTGTTTCCTTTCCACTGAGAAAACAATTGAAGGGATTCTTTCCAGAACTTACTTTTTGTTGAAAAAGTAGTTACCGAAAGGTTTTAATAAACTTAAATGATTAAGTCTTCCAAAATGTCATTGATCCATAAGTAAACAGTTTAAGATAATATTCAACAGCCAAGAAATTATATGTACCAATGGGTGTCACATTTTTAAAATGTCATGTCTCATCTCTGAGACTCTGCACTCGTTCCCTCCGATCTGTATTCCTGCACAGAGAGCTTTTTCTTTTGGTCAGTGGATCGGATCAACGTAGTAAATGCAATTTGTCGTTCAGTGAGAATTTTGTGCAGCCATGTAACCTCCCCCCGTAGCAGTAACCTCTCATGACTTTGTCCCAGTTCATTTCCAGCTTATGTAATTTACTTCAGTCTAATGACATCCGTTAGACTCTGCAGCAGAGAGAACGAAGCATTGGGCCATGCAGATAATTGTCTCAATAGAATTTGGTCAGAGGAGGGGAAACACACAGTTTTTTACCTGCAGAAAGACACACATCCATACAGTAGCTGCAGATTTATTATTTATATTTTACGTCTTTTATATTTGAGAAATGATGTATGACTGGCGTGATTATGTCTAAATGTGTTTCTAAAAATATGACATTAGTCTAAGCAAAACTACCATTACATAAGTATTAGAAATAATTAAGACGCACACAGAGCCCTAAAGCACCTCAGACAGTTTAGAGACCTCGCTGGAAGTTTAACCAATAGCCTCCAGGGATCCCAGAGATGACCCAGTGTTTAGAGGAGAGGGCATCTGGTCATCCTCACAGGCCTGAGGGAGGGAGGGAGGATATGTGTGTCCAGAGCAGAAAGGCAGGCGGGGTGGGGGGGGCAGCTGGAAGAGGACTCAGAACAAACCATCCAGGCAGATGGTCAGCACTGACCAGAGTGAGTGTGAGCACACAAGAGAGGAGGGGTGGGCAAAGAGGGAGGATGGGATGATGAAGGGGTAGAGTGGAGGATATTGGAGTGCCAGCTGTTCTCCTTCTTTCTCCCCTGAGAGAGGGAGAGGGAGAAAGAACGCCACAGGCAAATCCCTTTTCTACCAGCCTCATCTCTAGGGTACCACCAGGGTTAGACAGTGTGTTAGTGACGTAATTAAAGGGTTAGTTCACCCAAATC